ATGGCGCTCCGACAGCAGTGATTACAGACAGAGGACCTGCCTTCACCGCAGAACTTTTGGAGTCAGTTCTCAGACTCAGCGGTACAGCTCACCGGAAAACAACGGCTTACCATCCGCAGACAAACGGACTGACAGAGCGCCTCAATAGGACCCTCACAGACATGATCAGCATGTACGTTGACACAGAGCATAAAAACTGGGATCAGATATTGCCGTACGTGACCTTTGCCTATAATACCGCTCGACAAGAAACCACTGGAATGACGCCGTTCAGTCTGATCTATGGTCGCGAAGTCACGACAGCGTTGGACGCCATGTTGCCGCATGAGTGTGACGACATCCATGTGGACGCCGAAGAGTTCACTCAGCGCGCCGAGGAAGCCAGACAGCTCGCGCGTGTGCGCATCTGTCATCAACAGCATCAAGATGCACAACGGTACGACCCCCGACACAAGTTCATAAGCTACACACCAGGCGACAATGTCTGGGTCTGGATTCCGATACGTCGACGTGGACTGTCGGAAAAACTGCTAAGACGATACTTTGGCCCATACAGCGTCACGCAACGCTTGAACGACGTGAACTATGAAGTTGTTCCTGACACTGACTGTAGTTCTAGGCGTCAAAATCATTTACCCGAAGTCGTACACGTCGTGCGTATGAAACCGTATTTATCCAGTTAACGCGACCACTTCATACGCCTGGTAGAGCGCCTAGGTTGCGCATCGGGACGATGCCTCTTTCGGAGGGAGGCAAATGTCACGTGCTTGTCAAAAAGAAAGACAATGACAGTTGTGCATGTGCCATGAAGTACTATGAAATGGATGAAAAAGAAGAACTCTCTTGCGCGTTCTATTAAAAGAACCTACCTGCTTCTGGTGTCTCAGTTTCTGCCGCAAGACCTCTGTTTCGACGTCGGGACAATATCACGACAGGCAATGAAACGCTGAAGATACAACGTTCTTTGACGTTAACGACATCCCCGACGAGGGTTTGTGCATGACTGCCATGCAACCAGTTTGACACAAGCATCGGGACGATGCACTCTGGAAAGGGGGCAATGACACAATGTGACTTCAAATTACGCGCGCTAGCAAATACTTGTGCCTTCTAGATGATTTGCGATGCACGAGCCTGCGGGACCCAGCTGCGCGCGAACCGGGTTGAAAGAAAAGAAGAACGTAGAAGAAGAGGCAGAAGGCAATCCTCGAGACAATCTAGGTGTGCTATAATTCTCGGGCACAAGTTCGCCCAGCCTACGTTAGCTTATTAAAAGAGTTTATTGAAAAGTGCGTTACAATATTGGCTCACGCATTTTTTAAACTACACTCAGACGTGGTATGCAACCCTTCACGGTCAGCTCCCACGAATGTAAAAATATATGCATTCTCCTACAGTGTACAATATGGGCTCACTTCCTTGAGCTCAATTTTTGTGACACGCAGCTCATCACTTCGAAGTATCATGTGGCTTTTTCGTTTGCAGATACCTGCCTTGATACAGTTGGCCTGCCAAGATTGTATGCCTTGCATACTCAAATAGCAGTGTCTTTTGCTGCCATGCCTCCCGTTACTTTCTCTCAGTAGCATAAACTATCTGCACTCATTTTGTCTGCACTGCAACGGAGATGCGCCTCAACTTCAGCATAGCCATAGGCGTCGGCAGCGGGTGCAAAAGGCCCACTTTCCCCGCTCAAGCCTCCCCAGCACTTGCCCTCAATCAAGGTACACCAGTGCTCTCCTCCTCCCCCAGCCATGATGCAACACTGGTTTGCACCCCTCAAGAACAAATCCTGCCGACGACGATAAACATGGCCAATGTTGAGGTGGTATGGTAGGGTATAGCCCCCCCCCCCCCTTTCAAATGAATTTGCCATTCGGACACCGAAAAATTCACTGCACTTTTAGAAAAAAACCTGTGGAAGCTCGACGTTGAGCGGCTGTTTCAAGCTGTTTCAGTGCCGCGCCAAACTGCGCCGCGTGGCTTCAGGCGTAAGCAGTACGCGCACACTAAACTTTGCCTTTCTCCAATTCCGTTTTTAAATATTTTTAAACTTCAATGTACCTTGTCTAAAAAAATATTCAAACGATTTCGATGAAACTTTTAATTCATGCATGTACTACAAGCTGCGAACAATCTCAACTAAGAAATTGCTGATTTCTTAAAAAAAGGGAAGGTGTAAAAGAAACCACACGGCATCTTCTGTGGCTCTGTGAACATAGTAAGCTTTTTACAAAAACTTCATAAAAGATGTACTATTTTTTAGTTCAGACATAACCTACGAGTCTCTGCAATAACAGGGCTGAATATTATTACATTGCTCTCGCTGAATGCAAACAAAAGGTTCACATTGAAAAACTATGGACCACCTCCCCGAATGCAACACTGATAGGATGCGAAGCAGCAGTGGTGCGCACGGCGTGTACCCGGTTGAAACAGGTGTCGATGCCGGTGTTGGAAAAACGTTTTGAAGCGAAACTCGGTGTAGCGTTTACTCGAGTAAACGTTTGTCTGAAACGCAAAAACACGGGAGGCGGGACACGTTGAAGGAGCTTGTGCTTGGCTTCCTTGGCTCGCGTCTCGTCGCTGTTACCCGCGCGCTATCTGTATTCTCGGATGCGCTCGGTGTTCTTGACTCGCACCTCGTCCGTTTCGCTGGTCTTGCACTGACGGCGCCTGCGTTCGGCTGCCCTGGCTCGCGCCTCGTCAGTGTTGACTTCGCCACTCGCGAACGCGATCGGCTTCGCCAACCCTCGCAACGCTGGCGATAGCCGGGAAAGGTACGCGCACGCTAGCGGGAAGCTTGCCACGGCGGCGCCCCGCCCGTCGGCGCAATCCCGTGGCAAGCAGCGCGCGCTCCCACCGGCTCGCAGCTTCTTCTCGCCGACAGAGGGAGAGAGGTGGCGCGGGTGAGATGATGCTCACGTGAGGAGTGGGCTCAAGCGTTGGGAGCGGTGGAGAGGGTGAAGCAAGAGAGAGGTGACGTGGCGAGCGCGCGGCAGGTGAGGGAGAGAGACGTCACCACGCAATGCTAGGAGGGCGTGAGCTACTTGGAACCGCTCCAACACCTGCGGCGAGGGGAGCGGTGCGGACGGAGGGATGGCGTGTTACACAGGCTAGTCAAATAGCTACCTCGCATTAAAAAAATATTGACAATCTTCCCGAAGGGAACCATGGGATGCGAAAGAGCGTGGTGATGCAGAGTTGCGTCGCTGGTTGCGGAGAGATCAAGGATAGTCTCTGCCCTTCCCCAGCTTTGACTGTGTGGCGCGCCGACGAAACTTCCACAGCCCAGTGCAAACGTATATAAGCGAGCAGCGGACGGCAGTGATCAGGAGATGAAGAGAGTCTCTTTCCGCCAGCGTGAGAAGGCTTGTGCTACAAGCTGAAGAGTGCGTGTTTACCGCCAGTGGGTGAAGACGTGTTCTGCAGTCACAGCGCGTGAATGGCCGCTGTCTTACCGGCGAAGAAGCTTTGTTATAGAAGTTCGGACATTTGACGACGCGAGCTTACTTGGATGAGAAAGTTCGGGAGCAACAGAACAATGAGCGCTGGACTTTGAGGGAGTATTTTCTTGAAGAGAAGCATTCAAGGTTGGTTCCAAGAACTTTAGACTGAAGTAGTTTGACGGAGATTTAGTGCACAAGTGTTCTGGTTGGTTATTGCACGAGAGTGCATTGTAGTGCGTAATTTTGTTTGTGCCCATTGTTGTGAGTGTATCTGATTGTGTTGTATGGCACGTTGTTTGGAGGATCTTGTGATTGGATTATAGCCAAGTGTGTATGTTTGTGTGTTTTTGGTTATGTCGTACTTGAGAATATATTTTAGTTTTGTTATTAACTCTCGACTCTGTCTGGTTCTTTGGACCACAGCTGGCGTTCGCCGGTGCGCCAAAAAGGACCAAATCTAAGTTGTCCTTGATTTAGTGGTGCGATTCGGAGGGCTGATACTTCAGCCCCGAGAATTAGCCCGGCGACTGCCTCCCAAATTAACGGGACCAGTGGCAGTCTAAAAATGAGCAAAATATCATATTTTACAGGTTATCACATGCATTCCACCGCAAGTCAAAGCCTGCTACTAATTAAAGTTGCTTCCGTTTCCAATGAACCAAGAATGACATTTGCACGAGTCTTGTATCAATTAAAAAATAGGTAGTTTTGGCATGACGAATATGCTCACTTTTTATAACAATTAAGGGACATATACTACAACATTTCGAGCTGAAATTTTTCATGAAACCAGTATGCGCTTTGAATTAATTTTGAACATCAAAATTACTGTTCGCCGAAGCTACGTCGTTTCCCTTATCAGCCTCCACAAAGTTGCAGACATTTACGAAGACAATGGAAACAGCATTATTTGGTAATATGCAGTCAACCGGCTCAATAATATTACCAAGCGAAATCTGTCGCACAGTGATGCATTCGCTAAATCGCCATACGTCATCAGAAAGACGACCAACTGCACTGCTTGAAGAGCACAAAATGTTTCCCAGTCGTATACATGTCTTCTACAAAACTTCGACAAAAAATGAAATAGGCAAGTTTTTCTGCCTTGAATACTTTTTTTATGAATAAACTAGTAATTACCACTTTTTACAATCTCTAGATGCGTTTCAAGAGGCAGAATTAATAGATCAGCTTCAAGAACAAAAATATTATGCCTCGAACTATCAGTATCACATATAGAACTGTTCATCGCGTGATATTGTTCAAGTTCAACAAAGTACAGCATTCTGTTCACAAAATAAATTGCCACTGATATGACTTATTTCGTGCTTTTACCTTTTAGAAAGTGGAGCTCCTCTGAAAAGTAACGTACTTTAACTACCAGTCTTTTTTTTGTTCTGTTTAACGAGAGAACACTGTATTCATGTTCCGCAGTGTTACGTAAAAGCACCGATAAACATTTACTTGTGTTTTACAGCTAACACTGATTTGAATGACCAAAGACATTTATTATTAACACACATACAAGAAAGCTATGGGGTCGCCGTGGTGTCAGCGCTTCAGCGGTGGTTTGGTCCTCTGCTGCTGGCAGTCACTATTGATCTTCTGGAGCTTCTGCTGCAAGATACCTGTGGCACAAATAAAAGTTCAGCATTGCTGTGCTTAAATTGAGTGGAGTAGTCATCAATTAACATCAATAGTTCAATTTCAGAAACATAAAAAGAAGTGGGAATCTGTCTACGATCAACAAGGTACGCTGTTCACTGACACACTACACAGCCGTGTACAGACCAGGCATCGTAGTTACTATGCACTGCGTTGCCTGCCCAATGTAGTGAACGAATTCACAATAACAGATGGCAGTTTGGGCATAATGCCTAAAGAATCGACTTCAGACATGGATTCTCTCAACTATAACGTTTGAGTGTTTTTTTTTTGTTTCCAGGTTTTGGATTGTCAGTTCATGTTAATGCCTGCCACTAGAACTCCGTATCACACATTCCTGCCATTGTTACGGAAGGGCAAGACAGCAGATCTGTTTACCTTGCTTTTCTTATCACATTTGTTTCTGTCTCCTTTATCACAAATCTACAGATGTAAAATAACCACATCTCGGAACACATTGCCTGTCAGTATCGTACGCCCATCGTAGGAGTCGATGCTGTGGTCGAATTAACGTGAATGAGACGTGTGTCACACATGGAGATGGCACAAGGGCGATTTATTACGACTTGGTTTTTTTACCTTACACAATGCTTTGCGCACTTTATGCAAACACATAGAGTGCAATTTTCTCGTAAGACCGCATGCATTGACTCAATTGGGTGGTTGCGTGTGCCAACACCACATTATTATTATAAGGCATGCCTTAGTGTGACCCTGAAAATTAGTGTAGACCCTCTGCGATTCTTTAAGATGCCTGTGCAACTCCAGGTACAAAAGTGTCTTGCATTTCACTCCCACTGACGTGGCCCAGTCCGATGCATGAATCTGAGCTTCTTTTTTCATAACTTCACTTGAAGCTCCTACCAATACAAAAGCACACAGCCACGAACGAAAGAAGGTCAATTTCAAAGGCTTGTTTTTTCTTTGTTGAGCATAACCTTAATTTGAGCAAACAGGCAGAAAAGTGAAGGAAAGTATCGAGAATGTTACTTGCAGTTATTAAGATGCAAATGAGAACAAGTTAAAGTGGATGAAAAGATAACTTGCCGCTGGCAGGCACTGATTCTGCGACCTTAAAATAACGCTTCCGATGCTCTACCAACTAAGCTACAGCTGCGGTCATCTCCCCGGACACTTTGTGGAGTGCTTTGCAGACGTGACACCTATAGACATGACCGACCTGCAACGATGTGTCACACTCCGGATGACACACACAAGTACAAGAAACATATCTCTCACGAGTGAAGCAAACAGAGTGCGACTGAATGCCTGAAACGTTTCGCTCCTTTCAAATCAGAGTCAGCATTAAAAAAAAAGAAATTTGGTGGTTGAATGCAGTCTTAGCAAATACAGTGAAACCTCATCATAACGAACAATCATAAAACAAATAATGAAATATAACTAAGTAAATGAAGAATAGTATTGCCAACAGTTTCACGAATAAATGTCTATAATGAATTTTCGGGTATAACGAAGTTATTATTGTGACATGTCACATGAGGTTTGAGTGTACAGTGGTAAAGCACGCTGTCACAGTGTCTTGCGTGGAAAGCATCGGCAAGCTCGCTACATTTCACGTTTTCATGAGGTCTTGAGGCACCAGGTAACGGTTCTCGCTAACCGAAGGAGATGGGTGCTGTTATGCCAGCGAGTCCTCGTCAAACGACCGAGCCTCTGAAAAAGGCAATCTGGGTCAAGGCCAGCCCACAGTCGGCCTGGCGCGATCACCTCGACGGCGTGAACACGCGCGGCGCCCCTCTGGCCCACGTGCAGTGAGTCAGCTGCGCGCGTGACAGCGAGCCGGCGTCCGCGTGTCTGGTGGTCTGACGCATGGCGCGGCGACCCCCATTGGCGGAATCTGCCCTGACGACCAGCGGCGCTTCTGATTGGACATTTTGGTTGGACCCGGTGTAAATAAAAGAAGCCCTGCGGCGCGTCGCGATCGGCAGTCCTACGAGAGAGGAGTCCCCATGTCGGAGAGCCGACATGTGTGTGAGTCAGCGGTCTTAGGCGAAAGGCTGATCTATGTGTTAGAGAGAAGAGCTCGCCTCTTCGAGTCTCTGTCGGCCCCAGTGCCGAAATTGTAACGCCTCTGTATATATGCTGTACATAAACCTTGTTTAACTCACCGTCGTCTCGTCCGCTCGTCTTATCAGCTCTGCGCAGAAGCAGTCGCGAGCTGATAAACATACGCTACCAAACGGCTGGTGACCTTCCCGGCGGAGTTGGAAGCAGTGGCGCCATCGGGACCGTGTTGGCGTCGCCGTCTTTCGCAACAGTGGTGGCTTCGGCGGGATCGGTCCGTCGTTCTCAACAGTGGTGGCAGCGGTGGGATCGGCCGGCGTCAGCGACATCGATGCGGTGAGTGCCTGATGTTTTCCCCTCAGTTCACCAGACTACTCTAGCTCAGGTTGTAGTAGTTTAGAGAAGGGCTGTGTGAAGCATTAGAGTGAGCTTTGATCGTTTCAAGCAAAGTCGAAGTGCTTTGAAACCAAAGTTAATGCGGAGGGGGTAAACACGGGAGAGTAAAAAATTGCTTGCGCGTCTTGCTAGTTGACTTATAGTGGGTACGGCAAGTAAATTGTTAACAGGGGCAAACAGCAAGAGGCTAGTGTGAACGATGGAGAACCTTAAAGTGAAGGAACTCATCGAAATTTGTGAGGAACTCGGCATTACTTTGGGCCGTGCGAAACGAAAGCAAGCGATCCTTGAGATCATGAAGGATGAGGGAGTGTCGGCTGAGGAAGTCGATGAGGCCTGGGTGGATATTAAAGCACGCCGTGAGGAGGCTGAAAGGCGAGAAGTAGAAGCTCGCGAAGAAGCTGAAAGGCGCGAAGCTCGCGAAGAAGCTGAAAGGCGCGAAGCTCGCGAACGTGAAGAAGCTGAAAGGCGCGAAGCTCGCGAAGAAGCTGAAAGGCGCGAACGTCGCGAGGAGGCCGAGAGACAAGAGCGCCTAGAGTTGAAACGACTAGAATTGGCAATCCTACAGTGTTCGCAGGCGCCTAGCGTAGCTTCTCCGACGATTCAGGTCAGCGGTTTTAGAATTCGGGACCAACTGCCACCGTTCGTAGTAGGCGAGGACATGGCGAAGTATCTCGTCAAGTTTGAACACGTCTGTGAGCGAAACGCTTTGGAGCGGTCTCTTTGGGCGCAGAACCTGTTAGCTCTTCTTCCCGGCGAAGTGTCCGACGCATTAACTTGCTTGTCTAGGGAAGTGTTTGAGAGCTATGACGAGGTTAAGGAAGTGCTCTTGAGACGTTATAAGTTGTCGCCCGAGGCTTTCAGGCAAAGGTTCCGGTATGCTGAAAAGGGGAATGAGTCACACGTTGACTTCGCGTTTCGTCTTAAGGCCGATTTAATCGAATGGCTCAAGGGCGAAGGTGTTTATGACGACCGCGATAAAGTGGTGGAATGCGTTGCATTGGAGCAATTCTACCGCTGCATCGAGGATAATGTCAGGCTTTGGCTGCAGGACAGACTTGGTGAAGTAAAGCTAAACAAGGCAGCAGAGTTAGCTGAGGAGCATTATACTCGCCGAAAGTTGCACAGCAGGGCAGTGCGCGCTCAAAAGGATGAGAGAAAAGAGGGCTTTTCAAAGAAACCTGATCAACGGAGACCCGTTCCGCACCGTAATTTCAAAAAGAACCCGTCTCTTACGAAGGACAGTGTAGGGGAAGGGCAAACAGAAGCGGAGAAATCGAGTGAGGTTTCTACCACACAGGCATTCGAATCGGAAAACAAACGGAAGCCGCTAATCTGCTACAACTGTAAAAAGGAAGGGCACATCGCGAGAAACTGTCAGGAAAAATTTGCCTTCGCAACAATCCGAGAATCAGGAAAAAACATGCGGTTGTTGGAGCCGTATCTCCAAGAAATTAGGGTCAATGAGAAAACGTGCCGAGCACTTAGAGACTCAGCGGCAACCATGGACGTTGTCCATCCTTCATTGGTGTCTCCGGATGACTTCACAGGAGAATGCGCGTGGATCAGGCAAGTCGCCGAGGTGCAGAGTGTTCGCTTACCAATCGCCACGGTGGTCATTGAAGGCCCGTTCGATAAGCTTCGCACCGAAGCAGCTGTGTCTGCCGCGCTAAATGATCGTTTTCCATATCTTTTCTCCAACAACTCAGAGCAGCTTCTCAAAGAGCAGGACAAATCGTTCTTCCCCAACTTAGCGTGCATGGCCCTCACGCGATCGCAAGCGCGAAAGCTTTCGCAGGAGCTTGATCTGGTTCAATGCGGTGAACGCTCAGGTGACCTTGTCGGCGGGTCGACGGAACCTCAGAGAGGAAATTTTCCGCGTGAGTCATGTGAGCAGTCACGCGAGCGGCCCGTCGCGGAAGCGGCCGGCGCGGTATGCGTTGGGGGAGACGACATGGCGCCATTGAATCAGAGCGAGGAGGCTGCAACGCTCTCGCCTGTAGCGGAAAGTTGGAGCGAGCTGCCGAGAGTTGATCGAGAGACGCTCATTCGAGAGCAGCGTGAGGACCTCTCGATTGAAGCGCTAGTGGAAAGCCAGGTTGAAACGCTAGTGGAAAGCCAGATTGAGGCGCTAGTGGAAAGCCACAAAAACGCAGCACAAGTGCTGTCGAAGGAGCACTACGAGAAATCGGTGAAGAAGCGCGTTTTTGAAGTTGATAATCAGGTAATGCTGCTGCAGCCGTACAAAAGGAACAAGCTTGAGGTTGATTGGGAAGGGCCCGCCACAGTATTATCGAAGCCTTGTGATTCAAATTATGAAGTGAAATTAGGAAGGCGGCCGGACAAAATTTACAACTTGATGAAACCATACGTTCAACATCAAGCGGTCTTAAATCTGTTGTTGAATGCTTCAGAGGAAGAGGAAGCAGAAATTTTGAGTTCTAGTGAGGTAATTGAATTGGGATCGAAAGTAATCCGGGAGCAGATAAACCTGGAGCCTAGCTTAAGTGAAGGAGGACCTGAGAAAGAGGACCTGAGAAAGATTGGTTCCGAGTTTGAAGACGTGTTTTCGGACCGCCCCGGAAACACGAGGGTGATCGAACACGATATCGAGCTAAGCGGTGAGGAGTCAATCCGTAGCAAGCCGTATCGTTGTTCCCCTGTGCAACGTCGAAAGTGTGAGCCGCTCTTGGTGCCGCATAGGTATCGTCGCCTAAAAGTGGCCGGTTACTGAAGTGGAGCATGTTGCTCCACAGCGCAACTTTGACGTTCGCTAAAGAAAAAAAAGGAAAGGTAAACGCTAATGCAGGTGCATTGAGCAGTGCGTTCCAGCTAGTAACTTCTCAACCTTTCGGTTTCTCGCTGGCGATTCGGGGCAAAATTTTGACCTCATCACGACCTGGGCTGAGCGCTCTCTTTCAGAGTGATCTCAAGGGGCCAACTTTGTGGTATTCTAATTCGTTACGTTGTTGTACGTGGGAAAAAAATTGAGTTGTCATTTTAAGAGTCTTGTGTCCCACATGTGCCTCTTGATGTAGAGGGAACAAAATTCCGATAAACACGTAGATAGGTATATGTTGTACTATACTTTGTCTGGTGTTCTGTCGGGTGACCGAGGGCGCTTGCTTGTGTCGTGTGTTGTCTGTTGTCGAACCGTTCTTAGCCAGTTGCAGAACCATCGACAAGTGCTGAAACCGAAGATGGTCAGAAGAGACGAGCGAAGTTGGCCAGCAAGTTGTGGCGACAAGCCAGTGGAGCTGGGATCCGACGTCAAAAATGGGATGTGTTCCCGGAACAGTTTGGAGCTGTATTCTCCCCATGGCCCTGGAGGCGAACCTGGAGGGACCTGGCGAACGAGCGCACTTGACATCCGAGCCCCGTGGAAGCAGCTCGTCTTTCCGGTGCATTGTCTGGCGGCGGGGGTGCTGTTATGCCAGCGAGTCCTCGTCAAACGACCGAGCCTCTGAAAAAGGCAATCTGGGTCAAGGCCAGCCCGCAGTCGGCCTGGCGCGATCACCTCGACGGCGTGAACACGCGCGGCGCCCCTCTGGCCCACGTGCAGTGAGTCAGCTGCGCGCGTGACAGCGAGCCGGCGTCCGCGTGTCTGGTGGTCTGACGCATGGCGCGGCGACCCCCATTGGCGGAATCTGCCCTGACGACCAGCGGCGCTTCTGATTGGACATTTTGGTTGGACCCGGTGTAAATAAAAGAAGCCCTGCGGCGCGTCGCGATCGGCAGTCCTACGAGAGAGGAGTCCCCATGTCGGAGAGCCGACATGTGTGTGAGTCAGCGGTCTTAGGCGAAAGGCTGATCTATGTGTTAGAGAGAAGAGCTCGGCTCTTCGAGTCTCTGTCGGCCCCAGTGCCGAAATTGTAACGCCTCTGTATATATGCTGTACATAAACCTTGTTTAACTCACCGTCGTCTCGTCCGCTCGTCTTATCAGCTCTGCGCAAAAGCAGTCGCGAGCTGATAAACATACGCTACCAAACGGCTGGTGACCTTCCCGGCGGAGTTGGAAGCAGTGGCGCCATCGGGACCGTGTTGGCGTCGCCGTCTTTCGCAACAGTGGTGGCTTCGGCGGGATCGGTCCGTCGTTCTCAACAGTGCGCAGGGAAGGACAACAAACCGGCACAGGCGCGTGTCCGTATAGCTATGACAAAACGTTAGCGAGAAGGAGAAAATTGATCTTGGTTGAGCTTCAAGGAGAAATGCATGCACGAAGCAATTTTATGGATTGGCATTGGGAGGAGTCACGCTATCGCTCTTTAATGATGTAATGTGATGTTAAATGATGATTGCGACTGCTACGCTGCCACAGCTCACCCGCTTTTTGTTGCACCCACGCAAGGGCATCCATGTGGGAGCTCAGCACCTTTGAGAGCTGCTGCAGCTGCAAGGAAGGAGAGGCACAAGAGTTGGTGCTACAGCATTCAGTGTTGCAAATGAGTTGGGACAAGCAGGACACATCCTTTCGAAAGTTGATGGAGTATGGTAGCTGTTTTGTGTATCGATATTTTCAGAAAAGAAAAAAAATGCCACCAGCTAGTCTTCACGCTGGAGTACATAGGCTGACGTTACAGCCTCGGCAGTGCGTTTTTGGGGGTTATGCCTATTTATAGCAGCGCAGAAAGGAATATGGAAGTGTCCTGGGAGCCGCATGTGAAAACCTACACGATTTTGTTTAGAAATTTTCATTATGTAAGCTTGAAACCATCGTCCAAGCACATCTGGGGTCTATGAGAGTGGACATTACGACAAAACCCACAGTGGTACAATTTCCCGTTTCGCGCCCCCCCCCCCCTCCTACCCGGAACTTGTAAGTGCGACTACCTTCGATTCCTGTGCAATCATGTTAACCAGGTTCATTTTTTTTACATTTTCCTTTCCGGTTGTAATGCCTAAACACTGCCACAGTACTCTCGTAGTGTGTGACACGTTGTCACCTAAAATGGCGACAAAAATAAGCGAAAAGTGCTTAGTATTTTAAAGGAGACCTGCAACACCTTTTTAAGTAGTCGCGGAGTGCATTCGCTGAAGGAGTTAGTTGCCTCACGAATCCACTACCACAAAAAAATTTCGGATCCGTCCAGTATGAGTGGAGTTACAAATATTTGTCACACGCTGCGATTGCATCCTCTGTTTTCTCATCCCGGCGAACGCACAGGAAGCTAAGCAGGGAGGGATGACAAGGGGGAAGAAAATGCGTCATGCGCGCCTAATGACCTTGAGCACCTTTAGGGGTGAAGCTCCTCTTAGTCTAACCTTGTCGTTCATCACGCGTAACTCAAAGAAGAGACTAGAAAGAAAAGAAGGCAGTGTTTCCCAAACAGTATAATCGACGGCGTTGTCTCATAGAAGTACAGACAAACTGCAGTTGAGCAAGGATATTCTAGATGGCGCTGTAACGTCACTCTCCAACTGGCTGCTGCGTGGGCTGCGCTTGAGTACGCGCATAACGAGTGCCTCTCTCAGTTTCCTGGATAGTCGCCGAATGTGGCGGATCGTCGGTGGGGCATTGACGAAGTAGAGCGGCGGGCGCGTTGAAGACTTTTGCGCTCGGCATCTTTTGCTCGCGTCTCGTCGGTGTTACCCATGCACCGTCTGCATTCTCGAACGCGATCGGACGCATAGACGCATTCTCGGACGGACGGACATATGGACGGATGGACGCTTCGCCTCACTCATCATCCACTCCGTGGATGTGCTGTGCTTTTTTCAGTTTGTTTATTCGAATCCTTGGCTTTTCGGTGCGATCACACACACGCATGGACCAGTGGCGGCCTCCCGTGGCAGCCCCAGTAACGAGAGAGTGCGTCATACTGAAATCAACCAATGGCTGATACTTGGCTTGGGTCGTCGTGGTTCTTAGTTTCTTGTGAAAATGGGTTTACTGCAGTACGCATAAAAAAAAACTATTCAGGGGTAATTCGCGCTGCCGTTATTAAATACAAATTCAAGTAAAATGAACATATTACCATCACATCAAATTAGTGGCGTAGCCAGGGGGCGTTACACCCGGCCTGTGCCTCCTGCCCCGTAATTTGATTTCACAATGCCATACAAAAAGGTGCCCCCTACTACCCCTGGAAAAATATTTCTGCCTACCGGCTTATGTTCCCTAATTATATTAAATTTTAAAACGTTCTACATTTTGTAACATTTATCACTTGCATTCTACCGACAGTGAAATCTTGCTACTACTCAAAATTGTTTCCACTTTGGTTGAAGCAAACCGAATGACATTTGCAGAGACCTTGTTTATACCTTTACAAAGTATTGTGCAAGTTAGTAGGGTCAGGACAAATATATACGTTTTTCTTTGTGGCGTCCCCGCAAACACGAACTGAACCCCGGTCCTTTCAAGATGTTTTCGCTCGTTTCTTAAACCCACGAATAAAAAAAAGGGAAAGAAAACCTTCGGTGTAACGATTGGGCATTCCGGAGTGGAGTACCTGGAAGGATTATTTCTACTATTCTCGCGGGCTTTCCCGCGCAAACACGAGAATCGGGCGGCGCCTTGTCGTTTACAGACAGTGTGAGAGTGTACGGTGGAGATAATCCGCGCGCACCCTTCAGATTTGTGGCATGGGGGAGCAGCAGAGCACCTTTTTGTTGGTTCGGGGAACGCGACCTTGCCGCAGCGTCTGTGCCGGGTCCGACCTGACTTTTCGTCAGCCTCCGTGGCTCCAGGGCTCATTACTGCGTTCTGCGCGGATGACCACCCGCGGCGTTGAATGACGAAGAAGCGGCGGCTACGGAGAATTTCGCGGGAGACACCGAGCTGCATGGAGACGTCGAGACTCATCGGCTCATCAAGTACCAGAAACCGGGGCAATCGGTTCGGCCGAAAACGTTTCGGCACAACACTGCAAACTCCGGACGTTGGTCATTACAGACGATGCACTTTGTCGGAAGCATCGGGACCATTGTTTGCCCGTAATTAAAGTGTCTTGGGACAGCTCGCCCATCTCTCTCTCTCTGAGGCTTGAGTTTGTACATTGTTACTTGCTGACCTTTGTTTGGGAGAGGGTTTTCTACTGGTGTGAGCCGCGGGGGCGGCCGTCGAAGATGATACACTCCGACTGACAAGAAATGGCGATTGGTTTGGGGCCCCGGTAGGGCGGAGTTGGGTTCTACAAAAAGGGACTACGAGACGATACGACAGTGGGGTTAGAGATACACGATGTGATGAGCTCGAGATGGTAGAGAGGCAAGGACGGTACGATGAGGAATGAAAGTTCGGGATAAGAGGCGAGTGAATGGAGCGTTACGAAAGAGGGCTAAGATGGAAATCACTGAGAGGCACGACGTAGGCGACGATGACGAAGACGCTGATGAATTGGACAGGCCAGGCTCCGAGGCCCCGACTACATGGACATTCTGTGAGACGAACTTCACCTCCCTTACTTAAACGAGCTTTGCGGGTAGGGATGTGGCATATTGAGACATTGCGCGGTTTTATTCATTGATAACTTTATCATTTGTGTCGTCCTTTGTTTACTCTGTATTGAGGCACCCTTGTATTGTCACCGTTACTTCGCTTATGTATCCTGTTTCGCGTGTCGCGAGTATTTCCTGATGTGTTACAATTTCGTCTAACAGAGATGTCGTTCACGGACAGTATGTGTGTACGCCATTTGCACTTGCTATTAAATTAAATGAATCAGTAAACAGAAACAGGTCGTAGCGTCTCTTACTTCCCGGCCCCAGCACGAATCCCTGTATGTGAGAAGTGATTGAGACACATAGCCAAGAGGGAACCACACATAGCCAAGAGTGGTCTTCCCTCTCTTTGGTAATCGGTGGCGTAGCGGGGGACGTCTCGCTTTATAATATACGATATACTATTCAAATTCAATTTGAACTTATTTGAACCAAATCACTATTCGTTTCGAACCTAACATTCTTTATCCGCGCAATCCCCATCTTTTTTTTTTTTGGAATCCCGCATCTCTTTCTTGCTGCCCCATCGCAAGTGTAACAAAATTTCAGTGGATATCTTTGAAGGTACACTGAACTGCACGAGAAAAGAAACAACAGAACAAGGCACCTAAAATAACAACACAACAGCAACAAAATCCTTCCTGACAGCTCGAGCGAAAATCCATGAACACCAACACTTAAAACTTGAATTGGCCAAGCTAGTCACACTAAAGGCTGAAATTGAACTGACCGGTTCGTCCTGCACGACACATGCGTTGGCCACATTCAGCTGTGCTGTGAGGTTTATAACGTTCTGCGACACAGAGCTCAGCTGGCAGTAGATGTCCTCCGCCATGAGATACCTGCGACACATTTGAAAGAGGGTGATGACGCACGCCGTCTAATGCAGAATGTTCGGCTATACAGTATGTTCTGTTACGGAGTGCACATTGTGGTTCTCAGCCAGAAGGGTCAAAAGTAGGCCATGCACGACAAGAGGGACAAGCAAAACCCAAAGGTTACATGTTCTTAACAGAAAAACATTGTAATTGTTGCAAGAGTATGCAGACGACACAGTACACATGACAGCGTTACAAATCCCACTCTTCCCAACTCGAAAGGTTGTTTAGCAAGAATGCAGCATTAACACCATGTGCCTAAAACAGCAAGAGAGGTAGCTAGTTCACTTGGCTGCCAATGCGGGGCCACAGGTCAAGAGAACAGAGTATAATCTACTCATAAATGTGCATCTCCGCGTTCCTGCTTATTGAAAACTAAGCCATAAAGGTTATGGCAGAGTTTGTTAGATATAAGACCATCAATAACGACATTATGATATTAACAAGAACTAACATAACAGACATGCAAAACATGCAAAAATTATCTGGTATAGTTCTCATTATTGTGTCTAACAAATAAGACAAAAAAACGAGTCCTCCAAATTTGTTATTCTTTCCCACATTATATTACGAAACCTATCTCACTTTTCGAAGTGTACTCTTTCGTTATTACGCTGCTGAAATCGATCACCAGTGACCGATGCTTTGAATTGTGGCATGTTGGAGATGTTTATCGCGTACGTAGCACTTTCTATTGGTTAGTCCCGCCACTGAATTTTACTCAAGCAGATTGAATGAGCCCACTTTGGCAACATAGCGATTTTAGACTGATCCTTGTGTTAACCAATGTATCTGTCGTTGAAAATGTTTGAAGTATGATTGGCTACCGCACTTTAGAGAAATATGTGCCGCTTGTGGTTACTCTGCATTAACGTCTGAATTCTATTATATAACGAACCACTGCAAGTCAAATAGTATCAAATTTTGATCTGACCTTCACATTCTGACAGTGTTGAGCGGTAATAAGTGCCCAAAATTTATGCCGAAAAGCGTTCAAGCAACGCTGGGCTGAGCCGCCATTGTTAATGAAAACGAATTAAAAACCCGCAAGAACGCGGTGCTCGTGCGAGTGAAAAGAGGTACAAACGTAAGATAGGATTCCAATTCGATGTGATCATTTTTTTTTGTAATCCAGGTGGTATGTGTTTGGCCAAACGCGCGCCTATGCTCACGCACAATGGCAGCCATTGGCTGTTTTCTGTAGATACATATGGCGCTGCAATTTTTTTCACAACTCGTTTATGTCACTGGCTTGAGACGTTCATTCAACCGCCTTTCATTTTCTTTTTTTTACGAAGGAGCTGATTAAAACCATCCGCAAGAAGACAAATAAAGATGCCTGGATGCACATTTCGGAATTCCAAAGTATGCAGGGATTGGTCACTCATGGAAAGAGGGGACACCAGACGAGCTGGTTAAGTTGATTGGAATTCTGATGTTTCTCTGTTGTTTGGTAGATTTTCTTTTGATGTATTCTGGTGTCGTGGGCGGGCTGACTCATGGTATCGTTGTAGGTGCAAACGATGTGTTTTATGACGAGATTGCGCAGATTATGTTGGTTTCGTAAATGGACTCTGCAACATCTTTTTTCATGCAGCTATGAAATGGATTCACTAAAAGAGTTTATTGTCTCATGAATTCACCACCGCAGAAACTTTTCGAACCCGTCGGCTATGAGAGAAGTTACAAAGATTTGTCGCATGCTGCAATCGCATTCTTCTTTCTCTCGTCTCGGCAAAATAGCTGGAAGCTAAGCGGAAAGGAATGGCATTAAGAAAGCAAAGCATTTTCTTGGAACATGCGGCTTTTCAGTGCGATCACGTTCGTACGCGTGGACAAGTCGCGGCTTCCACGGTGATGCCTGTAACGACCGAGCGCGCCATGTTCAAATCAGCCAATCGAACGGCTATGACGAGTGGTTTTTGAGCTTCTTCCTTCATTTGTCGAGAGAAGAGAGAACAATTTGTAACTGACTTCGAGAATTTTCTCTGAATTAGCATATAGCATACTCGTATAATTGTAGTGGGATAATCAGGGTGAACAGTGGAAGTGCCTCAGACTGGCTGGCCGACGTTTCGATAGAAGGACCTACCTTTTTCAAAGGCGCTGTGTCATCCTTGGCGTGTTAGTTTTAAAGGGGTTAGTGGTGACGTCATTCACTGGTGGTGGTGCCTGTCATGAACACGCACCACCACCAGGAACGAAAGGCAAAGATCAAAAGGCAAAGAGCAATGAAGTGCTCGTGTGCACCCCTCTTTGCCTTGTGTTCTTCCCCGCGTTGCTTTTTCCTCCAGCGCTTTCGTGCTTGTGCTGCCACCACTTTTAAAAGTAATTAACACACGAGCTGCAGAACTCACGTGTCCTCTCGCTGTAGGTCGGCGTGCTGCTGCACGGACAGGCCAGGCGCCCGCTTCATTGCAGCTTCGAGAGGTGCGAGCAGCCGCTCGAGCTCCTCTTGCTGCGCAGCCATGTATTCAAGCTTCTGTCTTAGCTGTCGATGGTCCAGCTGCGCACGCTGCACCTGGGAGCTCAGCTGGCTCACCCGTTCGGCACTCATCATGAGTGCATGGTCTCTGGCATTCACCTGTGTGCAGACGTGTGTCGAGCAGGGTGTTGAACAAACAGTCCTTAGCTGCCAAAGAGTACAGTCGATGCAAAAGGCAACGACACAACTGAGAACGAAGAAAAATGGAGGTAATGGAAAGTTTCAAGTGGCGCTCCTCCTTTTAATTCTTGTCTCCTTCGCCCTGCGCTGCGTCATTACCTTTTGAGCATGTATGAACCAACTGGTGTGTCCCTACTATAGTGAACTAGAAGTACTCTAGTAGCACGACCGCCAGGCCACGCCGCCTCTCTTGGCGGTCGGAAATACCACGGACCGCCGCTAGGGTTTCTCGTGGCGCTACTGCGCCTTTTCCTAGGCGAGGCGCGGTCACTTGGTGATTCAGCGCGTTAGTTCAGCACGTCTGCCGGTATCCTGCGCATCGCTTTGTCTGCAGCTACTGTACTGCACGTGTACCGGTACACTCTGCTCTGCATTTTCTCGCACGGACCGTTGTGGAGCAGCTGTCTTTACCTGTTCAGGTATTCCGTACCAACAAACATGTAGCTCGTGACATGTCGAAGCGGAGGACGGATGCACACTGTTTTGCTCCGGGTTGCCGAAGCGGCTACCCGGGCGCTCCGAAGGCATCGTTGTTTGCAGCTCCTAGAGAAGACGATCTCCGCAGAAAGTGGGAGCGTAACCTCCGGAGGGATGACAAGCCTCTGACCGAAACATCAGCGGTGTGCGAACATCACTTCGAGCCAAGATATATTCTGCGCGAATATGTGCACGTGATAAATGGCTGTGAAGTGCGCACTCCCCGAGGAAAACCGTCATTGGTGCCTGATGCCGTGCCAACGCTTTTGCCAGGTTGTCCAGCGTACCTTTCCGTCGCTGCGCCCAAGCAAAGACCCGAGAGAAGGAAAGCAGCCAAACCTCCTGAAGGCGCAAGCAGAAAACGGCGCAGGCCTGATGCACCTGACGAAGTGTGCGACGGCGGTGAAATGGAAGGCATGGTCTTTAATGCTGCCACTAGTGCGCGACTTTCAATTGAAGCTATTCGCACACTTGAAGTTCCTGCAAACTACTGGTGTCGTATAGAAGCAGTTGGCCACTGCGATCTAATATTTGTGACGACAGTGATAAGCAAGCGTACAAAACTGGATATTTTTCATGAAAAAGCTGTGTGCTTTATGTCCACAGAAGGAAAAATTGTAGCCCAAGTCTTCTATCAAGGTGTTTTGTGTCAAGAGAAACCCGTGCAATCTCTTGCTGAGGCCACATCCGTATTGGAAGAAGCTCGAGAAAGCCCTGTCTGCAAGGGAGCAATGTGTAAACAAGAATTCAAGCCGCTTTCCTCTCGGCTGACCGCACATCATCGAGCTGAAGCAAACACTGCTGGACGATCCGTGATCAGCGTACGCTGCTTCGGAAAAGTTTCTTCTGAAGGTAAGTAGACGTAAAGTGCATTAGGATGCCCATAACATTACCACATTGCCTCAGGTATTGAGGGGTGTGATTTTAACGTATGCATTGTTTGTTCATTTGCAGGCTCAAGTTGTGCAGAATGCAAGTCCCTTAGGAAAGCGTTACTGACAAGAAAGTCGTACATTAACTGTCGTGTACACCTGCCTGTAAAGAAAACCCTTTCTTCACGACTGACGCAACAAAAGAAGAAGACAGCACGTCTTCAAAATCAGGCATGTGTGCTTAAGAAAAAGTTGAGTGTCATGCTTGCCAAGAATGTGGCAATCGCAGAAGAAGATTTCAATGCAAAAGTAGCTCTCCTACCAGAGAAGCAGCGTGAGGCAACTCTCCACATATTCAAAGCTTCTTCACGGAAGAGTACTAAAGGCATGATATTTTCAAATGAGTGGGTGCTCGAATGTTTGATTATGAAGCTGAAAAGTGCAAGGTTGAATGAGCACTTGAGAAAAGAAAAAATCTTAGTTCTCCCCAGTAAGACTACGCTTCGCAAATATTTAAAATGCTACAGAACTGGGTTTGGATTTAGCAATAAAATCTTTGATGTGCTGAAGCAAAAGACTTGCACTATGGACGAGTTTTTATGCCATGGAGGACTCATCGTGGATGAACTGAAACTCTCGGAGCACCTTTCAGTGAACAGTGAAGGCTGCATTGATGGCTTCGTTGACTTGGGACAGTTTACGTCTGACAAAGATAAGCACAGTGTCTGTGATCACGGTATGGTGATAATTTTTGTGCCCTTTGTTGGCAAATGGACGCAAATACTCGCTGCATTTGCGACTCATGGAAACATAAATGGGAACCTGCTGACGAAGATAATGCTTGAAGCCGTCATTTTAGCTGAGAAGGCCAGACTCAAGGTTGATTTCATTACGTCTGATGGTGCCACTTGGAATCGGAAAATGTGGTCTGTGATGGGCATCAAAGCATCACTGACAGAAACGAAATGCAGCACATTGCATCCAGTGGACCCAACGCGCAAACTACATTTTCTGTCAGACTGTCCTCACTTAATTAAGTGCCTGAGGAATGGACTACTAAGGTCGGACTACGAAACACCTGAGGGCCGGGTAAGTTGTTTTTGATCACCAAGCATGCTGTACAACTTTATATACAATCTGTTTGTTTCTAACAGTTTCTCACTTTGGTATTCATTTCAGGTATCTTTACAATTCGTACGCAAAGCTTTGGAACTGGATGGTTGCAGTGTCACATTGCAGGCAATGCATGGAATCACCGGAAGCCACACGAACCCCAACAATTTTGAAAAGATGAAAGTATCTTTAGCTTTTCAGCTTTTCGGAGAAAAAGTGATTCATGGTCTGCAGCTGTACAAGTCAGGAATTGAAGATACCTGTGGTGACATCACAGCTACACTAAAGTTTTTCAAGTAAGTGTCATCACATTGTGGTTTTATTGCGATTGCACCTTTCACCTTGCATATGACAGTCTGACTCTTGCTCACAAACACAGATTCATCCTGCTTTTGTTCATTTCACAGGATCATCCATGACCTTGTGCAAATGATGACTTCACGATTTCCAGCTGAAGCGCTGCGCCCAAGTTCAGCAAGTGTTGAGAAGCTGCGATCGTTTCAGGAGTATCTTTCATCATGGGAAGACCACACGAAGGGGCAGAAAGGATTCCTGAGCCAGTCAACAGCAGCTGGGCTGCGAGTGACAGTGTCAAGTGTGCTTTCTTTGCTTCAGTATCTCACTGAGAAACTAGGCTACAGGTACCTAATGACATCTAGAGTAAGCCAAGATCCTGTTGAGCATGTTTTTGGCATTGTCAGGCAGTCGTCTGGATGTAACACGCACCCAACACCACAGCAGTTTATTAGCACTATCAACTGCTTGAGCTTCAACAATCTTGCTCACTCAGCTTCAAAGGGAAACTGTGAGCCTGCAGTGCTCCATGCCCTTCTACCCGCAAATTCAGGTGCTGAAAATGTTCCATCTGGTAAACAGCGCTTAATGGACAAGTTTATAAACAGTGACAATGTAGCTGCCGTGCAGAGCTCGCTCCCACAGAGTGCGCCAGACCATGCGTCATGCATTATATCTGCCAGTGACAACCGGCTAACATTTTATATAGCAGGATATGTAGCTAGAAAATGCCTACTGAAGTCTGGCTGCGAAGAGTGCCGTAAACTTCTTCTAATGCAAAAGGAGTCTGCTGAAAGTCTCAAACACCTTGCGCAATTGACACACATGAAAGACAGAGGTGGCCTGCTTTATCCGTCTAGCCTGTTGTTTAAGTTTGTTCATGATTTAGAAAAAGCTTTCACAACGTGTTTCAGTTTGCTGGAGCTGCACGCTGATAGCATACTCGACATTTTAAGCGAAGTTAAGGCAAAGCAAAAAAATGGGCTTGGTTGTCGTGACCATTCTGAAGGCATTGCAGCTGAGGTCATCGTTTTTTACATCACTACTCGTCTGCATTTCCTAACTAAAAGCGTGAACCAGAATAGTGCTGAAAAACGAGAATCAGCCAAGCACCTAAAGCTCAGTAGATGTTAAGTTCTGCACATGTCCATCTCACGTGTCTTCTTTTTTGTGAATCCTCGTAATAGTTTTGAAAAGCTGTTAAACTAGTGAAATTTATTTTGTTATTTTGTATTTTTTTGTACTCTTCCAACCACCACAATAAATAAAAAGATGTTCCTGTTTTCATTTTCGATGCTGAGCACTGTGTCCTTACCATGACCTTCTATGTAATAAGCCAGCACCAAAACTATAGTGGAAGCGCGCCGTAAGCTTGTGATTTATTTATTTTATTTTATTTTCAGATTTACTGCCAGCCTTTAAAAAAAGTCTTTGGCAGGAGCGGGCAGAACAAATAAAAGAATGCGAGAACATACGCAAATACGTCCACAAAACAACCGCAACAATGAGCGGGAACAAAATAAAAACAAAAAATATACAATTACGCAATCAACAAAGTGACAGCAGGTACTTTTAACAACTTATTTGGTACCAAGCCAGACCTACACTGATAAAAACTATTAATAATATACAAGACATGACTGGAAAGAGCAGGAGAAATCTGGACCGAGGTGCACCGCTAAACAAAACAGAGCTACAATGTGACACACGCAACATCAACAACAGAAAAAGAAAAAAAAAACATCAGAACAACATTATTGTTTCACAATCACATATCAGTTTGCAGAAGTCGCGATACTAGGAAAGCGGAGTGACGACCAAGATACCGAAAAAATTACAGATAATCTGACAATGCTTTAGCAAAAGAATTTAGTGTAGTACAATCAATTACATTGGATGGAAGTCGATTCCATTCACGCGTTGTTCTCGGAAAAAAGGAGTTTTTGAATGTGTCTGTTTTACAGCTAAAATCCTTTATCTTTTTCGTGTGGTGTGATCGCGTCGAGCGCTTACCAACCAGGTCGATAAAATTACTCTTGTCTATTGCCAGCTTATCATGATAAAGGGAGTACAAAAACTTGAGCCGTTCAAGCTGACGTCTCTTTTGCAATGTATCCAGCTCTGATTCTTCCAAGATTGAAGTTACAGATACTTGCCAGCGATAGCAATATGATGGTGATGGTGATGGTGATGAGCAATCGCTTTGTAGCGAATGTTATTAGCACGTGTGGTAAATATGAATATATATATATATATATATATATATATATATATATATATATATATATATATATATATATATATATATATATATATATATATATATATATATATTCTTGGCCAAACTATGTATATACAAACCGCTGAGCCACGCAATAACTAACCTAGCAATTTTACGTTTGCATGAGCCAGGAAGCAAACACGCGCGTTAGAATTGACCATAGCTGCAACTCAGAAGGAGCCAGCGACGGCCGGTCAACGCAGCCGAAGCTCCTAGGAAATGGAGCAGTGGCGCCACCTCGCGCCATCCGTGTGAAAGGCTGGCGCCAGAGCCTGGCCGGTCGCACCACTAGAGTACTTCTAGTTCACTATAGTCCCTACTTAGCATACGTTGAAATGTCGTAAGGCAACCCTGTACAGGCGGGAAGCGAGGAAGATGGTTGTCAAGTAGTGTTGAAATAAAGCTGCGTGTATTCCGGGCTCAATCGGCCTTAATCTTTCGTGCTATTGACGTTACGGTACGTTACACCAACCAGCCCCAAAACATGTTTG